CCTCCCCGCGAGTGCTCCACACCCCAGCCCGCGGCTTCAGCGATAACCCTCTAGTCGTTCCAATCCCGCGACCGCCCTGACGGGCTGCCTCAGTTTCCCGCCTGGGAATCCCGGCGCGCCCTTGCCTGGGGACCTCCCACGCTGTCCGCTGGCACTCCGCAGGCTGCGTGACCGCGCACCCCTCGGGGAGACCCCCTCACCTGGGCCGCGACGGTCACGCCGGATAACTGACAAGCCCGTAGCATCTCTGCCGAAGCGACGGCGCTGCTGGTGTACGCGGGAACGACCGCGGCGGCGCGAGAGGAGGGTGTGCGTGCTGGATTGCGTGCCCACGTCCGTCCCGCCTGTCCTCCGGCGCACCGGAAGGGCGACCGACAGCACCGCGCACGCGCCGCCCGCCTCCCCGGGCCTGACCGGGCGGCCCCTGAGGGTGGGACTCACCCCGGCTGCGGAAAGCGGAACCCGCGTTGATTGGCGAGCGGGAGACGGAAAAGCGGGTTCTTGTTCCGGGTCGCGCTCGGACGCCGCTTTGCCTGGCGAGGTCTGGGGTTACTAGGTGACCTGGCAGGAGAGTGGCGGTGCGGGGTGCCACTAGGCGGAAAACGGACTACAGTGACTCTAAGAATGAAAGCGAAGGGGTTGGGGAGGTGGCTTGCTCCCAGTCCTGACGATCTGAGTTCGATCCCCGCGACCTCTATGGTGGCAGTAGAGACTCGACTCTGCTTAGCTGTCCTGACTTCTCTATGGAGCTGAGGCACACGCATGCCCACAGGTTCCCCCCACCCTCAGGGGGTCGCTGGAGAATAGGGGAATGGGCACTCTGTGTGAGTTCATGCACGTAATTTAAAAATAACTCCAGTTCCAGGTGATCCGATGCCCTCTTCTGGCCTGTGTGGGCGCTACATGCGCATGATGCATACATAACATGCAGAGAAAACCCCCATTCACAAGATAAAAACAAATCTTAAAAAGAGAGAGAGCTGGATGTGATGGCACTTGCCTGTAGCCCTTTTGCTAGGAAAGTGAAGACAGATATCTGGAGATCACAGTCTCTAATCTGTGAACTTCAGAGTACTTGAGAAGCCCTGTCTCAGAAGGGAAAAGAGGCTGTATCGATGGCTAGTTTTTGACAGCTGGACACAAAATAGAGTGTCCTGGGCAGAAAGAAATGGAACTGAGGAATTGTCCCTATCAGGCTGCCCTGTGGCCACGTCTCTGAGGTTATTTTCTGCACTAATGATTAAAGTGGCAAGGCTCAGCCCACTATAGATGGTGCCATCCCTGGGCAGGTGGTCGTGGGTTGTGTAAGAAAGGAAGCTAAGGGGATGGGGGAGAGATAGAGAATGGCTCACTGTTTAAGAGCCTGTCCTGCTTTTGTGGAAGTCCAGAGTTCGACTCACAGCACCATCAGAGGGCGCAAAACTGCTTGTAACTCCAGCTCCAGGGACATCTAACACCTCTGACCTGTGGGCACTGGCACTCACATGCACATACCAACAGATGGACACACACTCATGCTTATGATTCAAGTTTTTTTTTTTTTTTTTAAATTTAAAAAGGAAGCTAAGTAAGCCAGTAAGCAGCATTCTCCCATGGGCTCTGCTTCAGTTCTTGTCTCCAGGTCTCTGTCTTGAGTTCCTGCCCTGACTTTCCCCAATGACCTATCATGACATGAATACGTAAGCCAAATAAACAGGAACAACAAGCAAACTGAAACAAAGTTACAGACAGTTGAGAACGGTCATGTGGGTGCTGGGAAGTAAATCCTGGCCGTCTGGAAGAGCAGCCAGTGCTCTAAACTGCTGGGCATCTCTCAAGCCTGCCCTGAGTTGAGTTTTCAGAGTCTGGATGCAGTGGCCCCAGGGACTCTGATATGCTCTTCAAGCCTGGGAGGGCACCACCAAACGTGGAATACACATGCACATACACATAACACACATACACACACACACACATACATATAATTTTAAAATAAGGTAGCTCAGTAAATAAAGACACTTGTCACTAACCTTGAATTAGTTTGATTCCAGGATCGCATATAGTGGAAGGAAAAAACAAACTCCTGAAAACTGTCCACTAAACTCTATACTCCACACATGCATCCTGACATGTGTAAACACAAACACACATTTGCACAAAATTTTCATGTAATAATTTTTTTCAAGACAGGGTTTTTCTGTGTAGCCCTGCTGTACTGTATTCACTTTGTAGACCAGGGTGCTATTGAACTCAGAGAGATCCCCCTGCCTCCGCCTCCTGAGTGCTGGGATTAAAGTCACGTGCCACCACTGCCTGGCTGTAATATTTTATTTTTAAGCAAGGTGGACAGTGATAGAGGAAGATCTGTGTTAAAGACCCAACCTCATCCCTGGCCTCTATGTATACAAATGTACACATGCACACACAAACACACCACACACAAAAAACCTACAATATTTTAGATGAAAAATTCAGTGCCAAACAAGTTAATCCTTACTAGCTAAAAAAAATCATGAATTTTTGTTTTTGTTTTTGTTGTTTTAAAATGTTCATAGGGCTGGAGAGATGGCTCAGTGGTTAAGAACACTGCTCTTCCAAAGGTCCTGAGTTCAATTTCCAGAAACCACATGGTGGCTCACAACTATCTATAATGTGATCTGATGCCCTCTTCTGGCGTGCAGGTGTACATGCAGATAGAGCACTCATATACATAAAAATTAATTAATTAATTAATTAGTAAATAGTTAAAATGTTCCTAGATTTGGGAGTCACCACTATAATCCCAGCACATATAATCCAAGCATTCAGGAGGCAGAGGCAGACCCAAAAAAGAAAAAAATCAAAAGTAACAACAAAAATGTTATCAGGACTTGACAAAAGTTACTTGGAAGTTTCTGTTGCATAATTTCCCTGTTACTATGGAGGAGGCAGTTTTACCAGGACAGTTTTGCAGAGAGAGGTTGAATGAAAAAGCAAGGTAGACAGGTGAAGACAGAACAAGCCAGAGAATAAGAAGGAGCCAGAAGATTAGAAAAAAATATCGAGTTAGTTTGGGGCCAAGCAGAGCCATTCAGAGGCTAAGAGAAAAAAAAAGCCAGATCAAATAAGTTAGCTGGGACAGGAGTTTGAGCCAGAACAGCTGTGTTGAACCAGCTAGCTATGAGCTCAGAACAAGAAAGGGCGAGCTTATTACACAGTAAGTCTCAGAGGCTGAAAACATTGTAGGCTTAGGTTAGATTGTAGGAGGCCAGAAGCTTCTAGGACTAAGTTAGAAGACAGGCTAATTGTTATCCCCTGAGACAACAATAAAAAGAAGCAAATAAAAGTTCCTTTTACAGAAATTTATTAAAGTGACAAATATTTAATCAGTACAAAAAGAAAGGTTGTAGAATATGTTGTTAACTGTGTTACAGTGCTACATGACTACTGGGGAGTCTGGGACAGAAAGGTAGCATTAAGTCCTGGAATACAAGGCTGACTTGAGGAACACATGGAGACCTCATCCTCCCAAAACAGAGAAGAAAGAACATATGTAGTCCTACTTTTTAAAAAATAATTTATTTAATTTTTATTTTATGTGCATTAGTGTGAAGGTGCCAGATCCTTTGGAACTGGTATATGCAGACAGTTGTGAGCTCCCATGTGGTGCATGGGAATTGAACCTGGGTCCTTTGGAAGAGCAGACAGTGCTCTTAACCACTGAGCCATTTCTCCAGCCCCATGTACTCCTACTTTAATATGCCTAAAAAATTAGAAAAAGTTATGATCCTGTCCTGACACAGAATAGAGTCACTGGAAAGGAGGGAGCCTCAACCAAGAAAATATAGGCAAGCCTCTAGGGCTGCTGCGTCGTCGTCGTCGTCGTCGTCGTCGTCGTCGTCCTCCTCCTCCTCCTCCTCCTCCTCCTCCTCCTCCTCCTTCTCTTCATTTCTAGGGCATCTTTTTAATTAGTGACTGTGGAAGAGAGCCCAGACCATTTGGGGTGACACCGCTGGGCACGTGGTGCTGGGTTCTATTTTTTTGTTTTTTTAAAGAAGGTTCAAGGATTCCCTTGCCAATCAAAACACCTTTAACTGTGCTAGAAGAGGGCTCCACGTAAAATCCCTAGCTGCACACAAGCGTCAAGCCTGGGAGAAGCCAGCTGTGGCACACCCACTCGCATTCCCAGCACTCCAGTGGCAAGATGGGAAGCGGAGACAAGAATGGCCTTGGACCAAATACCGCAACTATGTAGCACAGCAGCAGAAGCATCAAGAGACCCTGCATCAACAAGGGCGGGTCCCTGGTTGTCCCCCACACATACAACCCTCACACACAAAAGTTAACCTCCGCAATAATTAGTTTTTAAAGAGCCATAATGTGTATGTCAGTGGCATTTTATTACATATGGACGGTTTTGGACTCAAAACAGCCACTACAGGTGGGAGACGGACAGGACAACAGTAGTGTTCTAGGCTCAGTGCCCATTTACACACCCCACGTCTCAGAGAAGCAAGTATAACTGAGTGTTATCAAAATGTGATTGAGATAACCCACGGGGAGCCCGGGGCTCTTTCAGAGGAGCTGGAAAATTAAAACTATTTTTGTAATGGTAAAAAAATTGCCTTTTAATTCTGATACATAATTGTGCAGAGATTACTTGGTTACTATGTCACAAGAAATTGAATGTAGAAGCAAATTGCATAAAGCCGCACTCCTTTAGTCCAGCCCTTGGGAGGCAGAGGCAGCTGTATCTGTGTGAGTTCCAGTCCAGTCTGGTCTACAGAGCGAGTTGCAGGACAACTAGGGCTACACAAAGAAACCTTGTCTCAAAAAAAAGAAAAACAATTATACAGAACCGACCCCTGTAAGTTTTTCTCTGTACACGCGCGAACCCAAACACAAACGTACAAATGACTGCGGTTTAGGGCAGGACCTGGTACAAAGGCGCAGACTGAAGAGTTTGACTTTGGCCACGCCTGTTCGCCTTCACTCCGCCTCTACGTTTTTAGCCTTTTGTTCCGGTGCTTTTGGTCCTCTGCGGCCACCGTAGGCTGCTTGCAAGATGGCGGCCTCCGTCTTCACGGGTGCCTTGAGAGCTGCCTCAGGTCAGTGCTCCGCTGACGTCTTCACAGAGAAAGAACTAGCGCGGGAGGGAGTGGGCCTTTAGTCTAGATGTTGACGGGGAAAGGAAAACAAGGTGACTTGAGGTAGGTTTGCTTCGAGTGTTCCCTGGGCCGCTGTGCGCGACACCTTGCGTGGGGTGGCACCCTTGGCCCGCGTTCACCGGGTCCACTCTGCCCTAGGAGGCATGCCGAGACTGAGGTAGAGGAGGCGAGAGAGACCCCAGGATTCCGTTTTTCCGACTTCCAGGTTCAGTCCGCCTCTCAAGACCTTTGACCTTGAGAGCCATACTTTTGGTTCTATGGCGGAAAAATGGGGCTTCCTCCTACCTGCGGATTAAACACAAGCTCATAAAGCATCGAGTGACCGCTACACTTGAGAACCGGGTGTAACTTTTTTTTTCCGGTTTTTTGAGACAGGTTTTCCCTGTGTGGCCTTGGTTGTCCTGGACTTGCTATGTTGTAGACCAGGCTGGTCTCGAACGCAGAGAGATCCTCTTGCCTTTGCCTCCCAGAGTGCTGGGATTACAGGCATGCGCCACCACGCCCTGCCCGTGTGTACCTATCAAAAGACTGGCCTAATTTCTTTTGAACTACACCCCTCTTAGGGGAAGTACGGGGGTAAAGGCAGAAGCAGGTAGAAAATTTATGATAAGGGTGATCAGTAAGTTATTTGCGCACAACTATACGGATAAAACTTGTGGGAGAATAGACAGAAGACCAAGAAGAAAAAAGTAATCATATAAAAATTCCAGGTATTAGAGCCTAAAAATGGGACTTTTTGTGAGTTATGAAATATGTATAATGAAAAGTTCATATAACATGCATGAATGGTTTAACAACTCTAAAGGGACAGTTTTAAGACAAGCTCCTTTCCACCCAGTGCATTGCCTTAATCATTATTCCTTTATTCCTCCCCATAGCCACTTGAGCAACTAATAACTTCAATACTCTCAATAACATAGTTTGTCTAGTTTTGAACTTTACATTAACTTATATATAACATGTATAGTGTAGTGTCTGCTTTTCTTTTACTCTTTGGGGTTTACTTTTCGTGAAACGTTTTGCTTTCTCACTTCTGTGTTTTCTTATGTGACAATGCTACAGTCCTCTATTCTACTATTGATGGACACTTGGGTGGTTTCAGTTTGGGTGTGTCTAAAGTCAGCGTCTCGAGTGCAGCCCAGGCTAGCTGTCTTGGCCTCCCAGCGCTGGGATTACAGATGTGAGCCAGGATGCCTGGTTGGATGGTGTTCTGTACAAAACTTACTGATATCACATTCTGGTTTATGAATGCTAGAGAACTACTAGGATGTGTGTGCGTGAGGCACAGCTGGCTGTGGAACCCCTGGTCAGAGGGCACACACAGAAACTAGTTTCTAAAGGAGTGTGCCTGTTCAGTCACCTCAGCAGTAGAGCTGCATAGCCTCCCAGCACTTAGGATTGCCAGATCTACAAGTTTTAAACATTTTTATTTTTAAATTTCATATGCATGAGTGTTTTGCCTAAGTGCACTGCATGTGTGCCGGGTCCCGTGGAGGAGAAAGCAGGGTGCCAGCTTCCCTGAACTGAGTTGTGGGTGGTTAGCGCCACAAGGTTCTGAGAACTGAACCCTGGGCCTCTGCAGGAGTAACGAGTGCCGTTTAACTTCCAGCTCTCTCCAGTCCTAAGACCTACACAATTTCAACAAACTAAAGCTTAGGTAGGCATTTCCAGGGCGTTCTCATGAAGCCTTCTCATCTACTTGATATTAGTCCTTGCTCCCTACATTTTTAAAGTAGATGATATAGGCCAACTGCCTGTGATAGTTCTAAACTTATTTTCATTTGCCTATGGGGCAGTGCATGCCACAGCAACCTTATGGAATCAGGATGACTTGGGGACTAGGTTCTTCTCTTCCATAGTGAGTTCCAGGAGTTCACTCCCGGTCGTCAGGTTGTTAGGCTCCCGCTGAGCCGTCCTACTGGCCCTCACGATGATAATGAAATTCCACTTACAAGAATGATAGTATAGCGTCACAGGTTTTTGGGGGACTGGCTCTCACTGTGTAGCCCAGTCTCTTAAGATACCTGCCCTCCTTAGTGCCCCACTGGTGAGATTCCAGGCTTTGGGCCCAGTACCCGGCTTTCCTCAGCACTTTATGTGCTGTTAGTGCTGCTTAAATGTTTCAGGGGCCAGAGGAATGGCTCAGAGTTGAAGAGCACTGGCTACTCTTCCAAAGGTCCAGAGTTTAATTCCCAGCTACCACGTGATGGCTCACAACAGCCTATAATGACATCTGTGTCCTCTTCTGGCATGCAGGCAGAACACTGTATACATAATAAATGAGTAGACCTTTTTAAAAAACAGGTGTGTGTGTAACTTCCCAGAGACTCATACTTCAACCAAGGACTATTCGTGGAGATAACCTAGCAGATGTAGCCCATGACAGTTCAGTGTCCAAGTGGGTTACCTAGTAATGGGAAGAGGGACTGCCTCTGACATAATCTGATTGGCTTGCTCTTTGATCACCTCCCCCTGAGGGGGGAGCAGCCTTACCAGGCCACAGTAGAGGACAATGCAGCCATTTTTGATGAGAACTGATAGACTAAGATCAGAAAGGAGAGGAGAACCTCCCCTATCAGTGGACTTGGGGAGTGGCATGCATGCAGAAAGGGGAGAGAGGGTGGGATTGGGAGGGGAGGAGGGAGGGGCCTATGGGGGGATACAAAATGAATAAAGTGTAATTAATAAAAAATTTTAAAAAATAATAAATAAATAAATGAAATGAAAATTAAAAAAAAAAACAGGTATGTAGAATATATGTGATGTTTTCTCTGAGCCAAGCCCTCTTAAATCACTTTAATGTTTTATCTCATGTAATCCTCTCCATAACTAACTAAGTTAAGTTTGAGGAAAATGAATATAGAGAGATTAACTAATTTGTTCCTGTTCATACCGCTAGTTAAGTTGTAGAGCTAAATTAAAACTAGTTTGGTTCAGACCCTGTCTGTGTTCACCATATTGCCCCGTTTGTTTGGTGAAGTCCATGCAGTAGGCAGTGGGTCATTGTTCTAAGTCTTGGCCATCAGATTAGGTAGATTCATCCTGGTAGAGTTTTTGTTGTGGTTCTGAGAAAAGGTCTCACTGGTTAGTCCAGGTTATATGTATGCGGGCTGGCCTTGTGCTTGTGGTGATTCTCCTGCCTTTGTCTCTGGAATGCTGGAATTGCAGGCATAGGCCTCTACGCTTGGACAGTTTAGTTGCTGGTGTTTGTTTTTTGTTTGTTTGTTTGTTTGTTTTATTTTTTTTTTGAGATAGTATCTCTTGTAGTCCATTCTGGCCTTGAACTGTATATCTCCTGCTTCAACCTCCAGAGACGGGCTTAGTGGCATCTGCCACCATGCCAGGCTTAGCTTTTCTTTCTTTAAGCTGACTTTTTTAAGTCGAATTTAGTATACTTGTATTTGTGGCATGTTCGTGAGTGAGGGTATGTGCACGCGTGTCTGCAGATGCAGATGCGTGTCTGGGGCTGCTCTCAGGAGCAATCCACCTTGTTTTTTTGAGAGAGGGTCTCCCACTGGGATGTGGCACTTACTGATTAGGCTGCTAGCCCACAAACCCCAGGGATCCACCTGTCTCTCTCCCCAGTGTCAGAATTACAAATATGCCCCGCTTTTTATCTGAATTCTGGGTATCAGACTCAAACATAGGAAACACTTTAACACCTGAGTGATTTCCCTAGCTCTAAAACATTCATTTTTATGCATATAGCTTAATGATGACATCATCGCCAAATTCCAGTCATAGGACTTCACATCTCAAAGAACATTTTTACCATGTATGTTCTTGAGTCTCACTCTAGAGTTAGTTAGAAAGTACTAAAAAAAAAAAAAAAAAAAAAAAAAAAAAGAAAGAAAGTACTAAAACCTAAAGTTCTGTGATTGATTCTAATTTGCATAGTGGCCTTAAGGAAAAGGCTTGATATATGGCCTTAGGGAAGAGGATAGCCTCCAGTTCACATATCTTTGCCTCCCCAGCTCTGGCTGCTCAGCTTCATTCCCACTGTGTATTCCTAGGCATTTCTGCTAGAGTTGGGAAGCTGTGCACAGCCTCTGGCAGGCCTGATCCTGCTATTCTCATAGCTGTATTTGTTTTAGCACCAAGGCATTTGCTGATGTTGCTTGGCCTACCCAAAGTGGGTTCTCCTTCTTGGAGGGTCTGTTTATTTTCTTTTTTTGCTTCCATTTTATTTTGCATGTGCATATGTGTGTGGGAGTATGCATGCCACTTCGGTTTATTTATTTATTTATTGTGATGAGGTTTCTCACCAAACCTGGATCTCTCAAGCAAGCACCTGCCTCTACCCCTTTCTTACCCTAGTACTGCGGTGCCATTATGTTCAGCTTTTACGTAGATACTGAGGTCCTAACTCAGGCTCTTGGGCTTATGTAACAAGCAGTTTACACCTAGCCCTTAAAAAAGATTGATTTCTATTATTTTAAATTGTGTGTATGTGTGCACATTCGTGCATTTGCTAGGCCTGAAGCTAGGCCTACCTAGCTCCTGGTATGAACCACCTGATGTGGTCCTGGGAACCAACTCAGGTCCTCTGCAAGAGCAGTATTCACTCTTAACCACTGAGCCATCTCTTCAGCCCTTTGGTAATTTTTTTTTTTTCAAGTAGATGCTATATATATATTTTGTTGATTTTTGTTTTGTTTTGTTTTTTGAGGCAGGTTCTCCTGTAGCTTGGGCTGACCTCAAACTTGCTCAAGGGTAAAGGATACCCTTGAATTCCTGATCCTCCTCTCTCCACTTTCTTTTTCTTTCTTTAATCTTTCTTTTTTTAAAAATATTTATTTGTTATTTATACAACTTTCTACCTGCACACCAGATCTTACTATAGATGGTTGTGAGCTACCACGTGGTTGCTGGGAATTGAACTCAGGACCTTTGAAAGAACAGCAAGTGTTCTTAACCTCTGAGCCATCTCTCCAGCCCTCCCTCTTTCCTTTTCTTTCTTCCTTTCTTTCTTTCTTTCTTTCTTTCTTTCTTTCTTTCTTTCTTTCTTTCTTTCTTTCTTTCTTTCTTTCTTTCTTTCTTGTTTATTTTCTGAGACAGGGTTTCTCTGTGTAGCCTTGGCTGTCCTGGAGCTCGTGTTGTAGACCAGGCTGGTCTCTTACTCACAGGGATCCACCTGCCTTTGTCTCCCTGAGCACTGAGATTATAGGCGTACACCACCGCACCCAGCTCTCCTGCCACTTTTCAAATGTTGAGATTACGGGTGTGCATCTCTGTGTCCAGCAGGTGTGTTCACTGTCAGATAGCTGAAGCGCCTCTGTTTTCTTCCTGAGTCTCCTCTCCACTCTGTCCGTGAGCTCTCCACTCTGTCTCTGACCCGTTATTGCACTGAGTCTGTAGGGGTGATCCCCATGGTATGGAATTGGTGGGTGCCAATTAATTTTACACATCTTATTTCTCACTTCTGGGCATAGAGTTTAGACATATCAATCTGGATTATATGATTGTTGTAGAATTCTAAATTTTCTAAAAACCATTGAGTATATAAAAATTGGTCATTTTATAATATATAAGGTATATATCAATGAAATTGGTAAAAAAACGTTCTCTGTAAAGCTGGTGTCAGGAACCTTCTGTTACCTTGTCTTCATTCATTATAAAGGGATGTGCTAGAGTACATTCAGTAAATGCACTTCTCTCTGTTTTTGCAGGAATATTCCGTCCCCTGAATGTGTTGGCATCTTCAACCTTTCGGAACTGTGCCAAGAATACCTGTCTTAATTCTGCACTGTGTGCCGCTCATGTTAGACACACTCAGTCATCAGCTGTTTCCTCTGCCCCAAGACTTGTCACATCTGTCAGACACCTGGCATGTGGGCCTACTGCAGAAGTCCTTAATAGGTAGAGTATATGCCAGTTACATATTTAAACAATATTTATACAGAACTTTCTAAAACATTTGTACCTTGTCTGGGCATGTAGCTCAGTGGTACAGTGTTTGCCCCCTTTTTCTATCCCTAGGACTGCAAAAATCTATAAAATGTGGTCAAGACATTTTAAAAGTAGATAATCTTGTCCTACGAGCAGCTTATGATATGCACTTTGCCTGACTGATAGGAGAATATAATGGTATTCTAGATCCCAGCAGCAGGATTACACAGCACCTCCTTCCCATCTTGCTGTGCAGCCTTGAACTTGTAATCACCCTCCTGCCTTAATCTCCCAAGTGCTAGGATTACCAGCATGCACCGCCTTGCCTGGCTTTTTAAAACATTTTGTGCACTGGGGCAGGAGCCTAAGACTATAGTGCACTACTAGCGGTGTCTGCCTTTGCCTCTGGGCTCATTTCTCATGACGCTGATGTAGATTCCAGATGGATGATAGTAGGCAAACCAGAGATCCAGCGAGATGCTCAGTTGATGCTGGGCTGCGTGTGAGTCAGTTAGCAGGTACTCAGTTAAGCACCCATAGTGCACTGTACTTTCTGCACTGTACTTGCAGAAAGTAGGCAGATATAAATAAGCTAAAGTTCTCAAGGAGTTATTGTAAATAATAATAATAATAATAAGTGTTGGGCTATATAATGTTTATTATTAGCCCGAAGATTATCACAGCGGTATTAACCCTCTATTACAAATAATAAGACACAGACACCTGTTAGATTTTGTAAGTGCCTTATTTACCTTGGGCCAGCAGATATTTCACCTACATTGTCTCAGTATCCTCACCATCCATCTTCCATCTCCCACCCAATGTCATCCATCTTACTGGTCTATTTTCCATACATAATCCCATGGTACTTGCTTGTATTTTTTATCTGGGCCTTTTCATGCCATTATTGGAGTCCTTCCTCTCAGCCCACGTGGTTTTTTTTTCTCCACAGTAACTCATTGTGGTGCCCTTCTTCTTCCTCTCTTCTTGTCCATCTGTTTCCCATGATTCTCTCCTGAACTCAAAAACCTGGGAACCTTAGCCACGCTTACTTAATTCTACCCTGCCAAGTAGAGGCCATTTAACCAACCAGTCAGGTATGTCTTAGGCAGGCTTACAAAACGGGGATAGGTGTAACCAGGTCTTGAGAGCCAGCATTAGAACAACCTCCAACAAGTAGTTTAGACTCGGGTAGGCAGATAGGTAAGAAACTGTGTGATTGCATACCGTGGGACAAAGTCCCTCTTGGGGGTGAGTGGGTAGGTTTTATTTTTGGTGTTAGGGTTGGACCTAGAGTCTCCTGTGTGTTGGACCCAGCAGGGTTCTGCCTCTCCCTGCAGGGCCGTATTTAGAAGGCTTGAAGTTGGGAAGGTTGCCATTCTCTGGGCCCAGTGTCGCTTGAAGTCATGTGGTGTGTTGGACGTTAGTTCCTTGCTCTTCTGTCAGTCTGACTGCTACATTTTAAAAACTATGTTTTAGAGTGGCCGCATTGGTTCCCAGTGTCCTGAAGCCGCCGGTCAGAACTCTAACATACTGCAGCTCGCGGAAAGGCAAGAGAAAGACAGTAAAAGCAGTGGTGCATCGGTTCCTTCGACTGCATTCTGGCCTCTGGCTAAGGAGGCAGGTGAGTCTTTACACACTTGCCTAGTTGCAAAGATAGGAAATGAAGATGTAGTAGAATCCAGGGAACCTAGCCATGACGGTCGCTGTCATCCTGCTAGTAGTTCCTGTGTGTTGTGCTGGGGTGATGGCTTTGCAGGCGTCTCCGTCTGTCTTTGTGCAGAGGAAGAGCATGAGTGTGAGTAAAGCACTCTTCAGCAAGGCAAAGCCTTCAGCAAGGCAGGTGCAGTCACTGTTGGAATTCTCCTATCTTAGAGACAACCCTGACCTTGTAGATAAATGTGTAGATTAGAGCTTAGCTCAGAGCCAAGGGTAAGGGTATTGATGTACCCCTTTAATCTCAGCACTTGGGATGCAGAGGGCAGCTGGATCTCTGAGTTCTAAACCAGCCTGATCTACACAGCCAAGGCTACACAGAGAAGCCCTGTCTCAAAAAGCAAAAAAAAAAAAAAAAAAAGAAAAA